GTACCATTCATTCTTGACCATATGCTACCTCCTGAGATAGCTGAATATCGATCAATTCTTTTTGATACAGGGACTCTGTAAATTCCTTTCATCTTCTTTTGATGCTTCCTGTATCATTCAGTATTTTGCCCAAACAATCCTCAATATTTCAACTCAAGGCTTGAATATTTTCTTCAGTTCTTTCAGCTTGACAAATGCCAAACATATTCTTCCCTTCAGGTTTTCTAACTTGAGCTCTTTGCACATTTCATTATTTTACTTTGTCTTCTCAAACTGTCCTTTGCAATTTTCTGTTCAGCTCTTTTAATCTCATCATTTCTTCCAATGCTTCAGCTACTCTGTCTTCAAAAGCAAGTTTCCAAGTCTCATCTGACATCCATTTTGGTCTTTTCTTCCTTTCCTGTCTTCGTAATGACCTTCTGTTTTCTTCTTGTATGATGCTCTTGATGTCATCCCACAAGGCATCTGATTTGCAGTCATTGGTGTTCAATGCCTCACACCTATTCTCTAGATGATTTCTAAATTCAGGTGGGATGTAAATCAAGGTCATATATTGGCTCTTGTGAACTTGTTTTAATTTTCTTCAGCTTTACCTTAAACTTGAATATAAGCAATTCCACAGTCAGCTCCTGGTCTTGTTGTGGTTGAAGATATTGAGCTTCTCCATCATCTCTTTCCACAGATGTAGTCAATCTGATTTTCCCGTCTTCCATCTGGCGAGGTCCACATGGATAGTTCCATTTAAGATGCTGAAAAAAGATATTTTTGCAATGAATAAACTGTTGTTCTTGCAAAATTCTATCATGCAATCTCTGGCGTCATTTCTATCACCAGGCCATGTTTTCCAACTACTGAGGACTCTTCATTTCCAACTTTCACATTCTAATCACTGGTAATAATCAATATATCTTGGTTTCATGGTTCGTCAATTTCAAACTGCAGAAGTTGGTAAAAAATTCTCATTTCTTTCATCTTTGGCTTTAATAGTTGGTGTGCAAATCTGAGTAACAGTAGCATTAACTGGTCTTCCTTGTAGGCATATAAATATTATCTGATCCATTACTTCAGGATAGATCTTGAAACATTCTTAGTGATGATGAATGTGATGTCATTCCCCTTACAATTACCCTATATGACAGAGTAAAACTGCCCTTTAGGGCTTCCCATACTATAATTTTTATGGGAGGAGATCACCAGGTCTTTTCTTCCTTAGAGCCACTGGTGGATGCAGACCACCAACCTTTCAGTTAGCAGTTAAGCACTTTACCACTGTGCCACCAGAACTCCTCTCTCAAATATAGATGGGTATATCCAATATGGATACCTCAAAAATGGACAGGCAATCACAGATATGTGAGAAAAGGCTCCAAAATGAAATTGAGAGACTAAACAAAAAGGGGGAAAGAAAAAAAAAAAAAAACAGGAAGAAACAAAGCAAGGAGCAGAAGACAACTGAAAAATATAACAGAACTATATAAGATTTAAAAAAAAAAAATTGCTGTCTAGTCTATTGCCACTCAAGGCAACCCCATGTGTGCAGAAAAGCATGCACCATAGGGTTTTCAAGGCTGTCACCTTTTGGAAGCATGTCACCAAGCCTTCTTCCAAGGCACAAGTAAGTAGGTTCAAATCACTAACCTTTCTGTTAATAGTAGGATGTTCAACCATTTGTGACACTCTGACTCTATGAGAATATACAGTAACCATGAAACAAAACACAATGTTAAAACACATCAACACTAAAGAATAAAAACAATGATTTAAATTAAAGTATTAGGATAGCTAAACTTAAAAATTCAGAAAGTCAAGTTGCAAGATAAAGAGGGGGTTATTGCCCTTAAAAACAAACAAACAATAAAAGGTAAAAGAACTGGAATAGAAGAAAGATTAGATTTGCCAGGAGGTTTAATTTTAGAGTGGTAACAGTTCCAGAAAAAGAGAGCAGAGAAAATGGAGAAGAGGAAATTATCAAAGAAATAATATGAGAAAATTATACAGAATGTCTAGATATGAATTTCCATATTGGAAGGACCCTCATGTGCCTAATACAAAAATGAAAAAATAACCACACCAAGGCTCATTATCAGGAAATTTTCAAGTAGCAGGGATAAAGAGATCCTAAAAGCTGTCAGAGGGGTTATAAGAGATATATCAAAAAGAGTAACAATGTAAAACTGGAGACTTGAGAAAGGTGACTTCTAAAACAAGGTACAGAGTTATGGCATAGTGCCTAAAGGACTTGACTGCTAACCAAAAAGTTGGTAGTTCAAACCCACCAGCTACTCCTCAGAAGGAAGGTTGGGCAGTCTACTTCCATAGTGATACTGCCTCGGAAACCCAAGGAGGGGTCGTTATGAGTCTGAGACGACTCGACAGCATATAACAATAACAACATAAAACTAAGCAATAATAATAAAAACAAACCAAACTCACTGCCATCAAGTCAAATCTGTGGAAGTAGAATGCCCAGTCTTTCCTCCAAGGAGTGGCTGGTGGGTTTGAACCACCAGCCTTCTGGTTAGCAGTCAAATGCCTTAGGCACTACGCCACCAGAGCTCTCAATAATAGTATAATAAATACTAGCACTCTGGTGGTGCAGTGGTTAAGCACTTGACTACTAACAGCAAGGTTGGTGGTTCCAACATATCAGCGGCTCCATAGGAGAAAGATGTGGTAGGTAGTCTGTTCTCGTATTTATAGCCCTGGAAACCCTATGGGTTGCTATGAGTCAGAATTAACTTGACAGCATTGAATAAGTAAACAAATGAATAAAATAAACCTAAAATTGATTGAATGCTGACTATGTGTCGTAAGTACTGTTCTGGATTTAATTTTATCCCCCCAAAAGATATACTGAAATTCTAAATCCTGTGAACATGACCTCATCTGAAACAGGGTCTTTAAAGTTGTTATCAGTTAACATGAGGTCATAACAAGTAGAGTGAATTCTAATCTAATCTGAGTGATAGTGCTTTAAAAAGAGAAAAGACACGCAAGCAAGAGAAAAAGCTGTGGGAGGAGAGAATTATGTGGCAGCCGCAAGCCAAGGAACACAAAGGGCTACCAGACTGTGGAAAATGCAAGGATGGATCTTCCCCTAAGAGCCTTTGGAGATAACATGGCTATGTCAACACCCTAAATTTTGACTACTAGCTAATAAGTTGCTGCTGCTTATAGACACGAACTTTGTGGTACTTTATTATGGTATCCCCAGAAAACTAATATAAGTACTGCTCTGTTTTTAAATGTATCATTCATTTGAATCTCCTAACAACCTATGAAGAAGGCAATATTGGCACCACTTTACAGATGAGAAAACAGGCACTGAAAAGTAAGTCAAAGTTCTAGCTTTCTGAGACTGGTCATTTAAAAATTTTATAATACTGTCTCTCATCTTTAAAAGTAAAATTAATTTTAAAAAAATATTATGTTAATGTTCCCTATCTTAATAATCTGCTCCAAGATCAACTATTAAAAAAAAAAAAAACTCACTGCCGTCCAGTCGGATCCGACTCATAGCGAACCTTCCTTGGGTTTCCGAGGCAGTTACCACCACAGAAGTAGATTCCCCAATCTGCCTTCTGAGGAGTGGCTGGTGGGTTTGAACTGCCAGGCTTCTGGTTAGCAGTCAAATACCTTAGGCACTAGGCCACCAGAGCTCCTAAGATCAACTATGACTGATTAAAATCCTGACTCGGTCAATCAGATCACATTTTGAATGCTATTCTCCTTCCTAAACCATGCAAATGGTCAACACACCCAGGGGCACATGGGAATAAAGGCCTGGTGATCTACTTCTGAAAAATCAGCCACTAGCCCACCAGTTGTTTCATGAAGGAAGATGAGGCAATCTACTTCTGGAAAGATTTACAGCCTTGGAAACCCAGCAAGGATCACTATGAGTTGGAATTGCCTCAATGACAGTGGGTTTGTTTGGTTGGTTGGTTTTAAAAACTCTATGGAGTCAGTTCGACTCTGACACACATGCGATTTCCATTCATTGAAATCCACTTGAAAGTGATTGGTTTTAAGCCACAAAAGTGTGTATGTACTGTGGAGGAGAACAAAGTTTAAGGGTGCTAGGTAGTAATTTTAAGTATTCATTGTATGAAAGTACTTTATACTCTGTGCTTGTGATTTGCAGCTACAAGATCCATAAAGAAGATTCTCTGACCTAAAGACATTGACAACCTCCACCAAAAGAACTTCTGCACTTATATCAGATCACCACTGTGTGTTTGGGCAAAGAATAAAGGCTAAATAAATTTCATTAAATTTTCAAAACAGAATAGCTGTCTCTCAGAAATTACTTTAATCTAAATTTTTTCAGACTTTAATTAGAGTCTCAAGAAAGTGGGAGAAGATCTTTTTTGAACAGATTTTTTTCTCTTTTCCAAGTGACATTATTCCTTCTGACCTATGATAAGAAGGTGACAGAGTTTTGACATTTCCTGTCTTGGTTCACAATGTACAGTAGCTTTTACAACCTCAGATCACTGTTTCAAAACTCATCATACTGCATTGGGTCTCTTAAACTATATGCTATTCTCCTGCAAAGCCTGGGGGTTTCTATCTCTCAATTTTGCAGTCCTACTCCACTTTCTGCTCATCAAGCCCTTGCCATTCTTCTGAGAGTCAGGGTATTTTTGTTTGTTTAGGATTTTGGTGGTGGTGGTTTGGTTTAAAGGTATTGCCTGCAGCAACCTTCAAAGTCCTGACACAACGATGGCAGTATTATCTTCCAAAACTGGGTAAACGAACCCCGTGCTGCCAGGCCTACAAGGTCTAGGTTCGCTCGAGGTCCCCGACCGCTGCTGCAGAGCTCACGTTGCGACAACCTTCCATGTCCGGTGTCAAGGTGACCACTGTATCAGGCGCACCCTGCACGATGTCACACCATCCATCATCCCTCACTGCGCTCAGGTGGAACACCTGGCGACTCTCCCCTACGGCGTCACCTGCGGGCCGGCCCCGACGCGCGCACGCGCTCACGCACATACCGTCTCCTTGGCAGCCGCGACCGGGATGGGGAGCAGCCCTCGGCTGTGGGGCAGGTTCTCTGGCTCTCCTTCCGAGCTCTCAGAGAGGCGCCCCGGCGCTGCCACGGATTCGGCTCTGGGGTCTCCATACAGCTGGTAGCACACGAGGCCAACCAGACCCCCTCCGGCCGCAGCCGCGATGCTCAGTTCCCCCCAGCGCCGCCGCCGCCTCCAACCTGCCTCAGTCACAGCCCCCTCTTCCTCCTCCCGGCAGGAGAAGGGCCGGCCAGTAGGGGTCGGGGTTATCCCTGCAGGCCGCCCCCAAAGCCCAGGAACGGGCTGGTGCGGAGAGAGCTGAGGCGGGAACCGAGGCGGCGGCCACAGGAGCCTCCGCAGCGCAGCCATAGCGGGAGCTGCGGGAACCAAAGCTGAAGAGGGGCGGGGTGGCAGTGCTGAGAGGGGTGGCTGAAACCTCGCGAGAAGTCGGCTGCCGAGGAGGTTCGCTCCTGTCCGAGAGCGACCCCTACAAACGCGCGATCACAGTACCTACCGGACAGCCTTCGCATGGGATAAACCGGGGTCTTGGGCTGCGGAAGGTCTGGAGGCGGGCTCTGGACCTGCTGCTCTTCGTCCCCCCCCCACCACCACCACCACCCCAACCCAACCCAACACCGCAGTCATAAATAACTGCACTCACACCCGGCAGCACCTGCTTGCGCAGAAACCCGACACCGCAAGGTACAGCCCAGTCTGCGGAACTTAGACGACCCCTGAGGTGCGGAGTTCTGTGGCGCCCTCCGCCTGTTTGGCCCTTTGCGTAGATTTGACATTTATTTGCCAGCGTCCCTCCAATAAAGTCACATCCCCATAACGGTGTTCATTCAGCTCTTCTGACGCAAGGTCATGAATAATTTGTACTTGTTCCTTCACGAGTACGTAAAAAACGAAATATAAAAATTTGGCTCAAGTATTGAAAATTAAAGAATGTTTTGACTATACAATGGCAGCTTCTGGACTTTAGATGAGGGGAAGCAGGGAAAGCCAATGCTTTTTTTTTTTTTTTTTTTTAAGTTAACTTTAATATATTTTGGAAACATGACCATACTTGAGGTGTTTTAGTTCAACAAATTAGAATTGTCTTAAACAAGTATAAGAAACTACGGTAGTTTTTATTCTGCATAAGGGCAAAATCCTCATTTTTGGAGAGAACCTATTGATAAAATACAAAGAAATTATAATGGTATTGTGTTATTTTCATTTTTGTTATTCTTGTAAAATACACTGTCAGCATCACTTTTATGAAAAAGTATGTGTGACTTACCAGTTTTCTGTCCCTTCTGCTTGTGTCATGCTAGCAATGGTCTCCACAAAGTGTCTGGAATGATGTTGAAACCCTTGAAGTATTCTGGGCTTAGGGATGTATACTACTAAATTCACTAGTCTCAAAGGGGCTGCAATGACAAAGGGATTAGATCAGTTGATTTTGGCAATTCTTACGACCAGGGGCTTTCAGGGGAGCTCTGGTAGCATAGTGGCTAAGACATTTGCCTGCTAATCAGACGGCTGGCTGTTCAAACCCACCAGCCACTCCTCGGAAGGAAGGTTGGGCAATCCTACTTCTGTAGTGATACTGCCTCAGAAACCCAAGGAGGGGCCGCTATGAGTCGGGTTTGACTCAACGGCACATAACAACAACAACAGGGGCTTCCAGAGGTAACCAAAATGTGGTTTTCTGGCCCACATCTTACTATTCCCATTCCTTACTTAAATCCTTGTCTATAAGTAGCCTATCAGATATACCACTATTATTACATCTTGTAGTACCTAAGGCATTTGACTGCTAATCAGAAGGCTGGCGGTTCAAACCCATCAGCTATTTCTCAGACGGAAGATTGGGCAATCTATTTCTAATAGTGATACTGCCTGGGAAACCCAAGGGAGGCGTTACTATGAGTTGGATCCCAACCCACAGCAGTGAGAAGTGGATAGCATACAAACAAAATGTCTATTTTAGGGTGCCATTTCTGTACTTTTTTCTCTTTCAGTTTATTGGTTCTTTGTAATAAGGAAGACTTGGTAGTAGCTCTTTGCTTTATTGCCAAGATTCCCTCAGTTTCTGCCTTAATTCTGACAAAGTTTTGTTTTCTCCAAGAAGTATTTATCTTCTGGATATATAGCATAGTTCTTCTGAATTGTGTACTCTGAATGGAACACAATTTCCTGATTTTCTTATAAATTTCCAACATGGCCTATTGGCTGAATTCTTGGACAGACTGATGTATTTTTATCAGCTGCATATTTAAAGCTGAATTCACTCTAAAGAGAATTAGATAATAAAATAATGTCATATAAAGTTGAAGAAAATTAAAATCAGGAATTCTCCATCTAACAGGATACTAAGGTCAATTTCGGGAGCTCTGGTAGCATAGTGGCTAAGGCACTTGACTACTAACCAGACGGCTGGCGGTTCAAACCCACTAGCCACTCCTCGGAAGGAAGGTTGGGCAATCCTACTTCCGTAGTGATACTGCCTCGGAAACCCAAGGAGGGGTTGCTATGAGTCAGGTCTGACTCGAGGGCACATAACAACAACAACAAGGTCAATTTGCATAACATAGTCTACAAAGATAATATTCTACATCCTACTTTGGTAAGTAGCAACTGGGATCCTAAAAGCTTCTAAGAGGCCATCTGAAGTGCAGCCAATGGTTTCTCCTAGTCTAGAGCAAAGAAGAGTAAAGAAATCAAAGATGCAAAAAGACAACTAGTCCACAGGACTAAAGGACCACGTGAACACCAAACTCCATGACCTAAAACTAGAAGAACTAGGTAGTGCCCAGCTACCACTGCTGATGGCTCTGAAAGGGATCACAGTAGGGGATCCCGGATAAAGTGAGAGACAAATGTGGAACAAAACTCAAAATCTTAAAAAAAAAAAGATCAGGCTTATTGATCTGATAGGGACTGTTGGAACCTCTGAGACTGTGGCCTTTAGACACCTGTCAAGCCTGGAACTGAACTCACTCCTGTGGCTCAACTTTCAGGCAAACAACAGGCCTATAAGGTGAACAGTAACACCAAGGAGGTAAGCACTCATTAGAACAATCAACTCTGTGAGATCAAAAGGGCAGCATTTGCCCAAGGTAAAACGCAGAAGGGAGGAATGGACAGAAAAGGAGGAGAAGGGAAATGGTAAACACAGGGAAGAAGTGGGAAGAGCACTATTACATTGTGAGCATTACAGTCAATGTCACAGAACAAAATGTGTATGAATTGTTAAATGGAAAAACCAATTTACTCTGTAAACTTTAACCCAGATCACAATTTAAAAAATAAATTCTCTACATAAGATTAATCACATATCTCTCGAGTTTTGTTGTTTTTGTTGTTTGCCATCGAGTTGGCCCCGACTCATAGCGACCCCTCCTTGGGTTTCCCTCCTTGGGTTTCCGAGGCAGTATCACTACGGAAGTAGGAATGCC